GTCTTAACTAATTTTGAGGAGCGTTGGTTAAAGGCGTCAAAGCCCCATGGCATACAGAAAATAAGAGCATCACATGATGATAACTTACTCAAGCTCGATAGAATACCTGATATATTAGGAATAGAAGAGGCTGCTAACCAAAGGCTAGATGATCCAGAGACTTGGCATGTCCAGGTATGATAAAATCGAATTTTTCTTCCTTCAACTCCAATATTTTGAACTGTATTATGTTCTTCTAACTTCAAACTAATTTATCGCAATTTTTTAGGTTTTTCATTCAATCGACTCCAATACGGTTAAAGGTTTTCCTGAAGATCCAAAAGAGGCTCCAAACAAGGTAAAGGCGTTTGGCTCTTGGTCTATTTTCATCGGTTAGAGTGTCGTCAATAGCATGGTGCTAAATGCTAATGAATGACGTTACACTTTTGCTGCATTGAAACAGAACCTGGTATGTGGGAAGAATTTACTGATAGACATGAGTATACATTACAGCTTATGTCAAGGCAATTCATAGCATCCAAAATCTCATTCATCGGGAACCAGTACTTCCTTGGTTCATCGTACAATTGGACCAACTACAAAGACTTGGGTAAGAAAATCTTATTGAATATCGATTAATTAATACCTGAATTACTCGAAAATTTATGAACGACTAAAATTAAGTATATTCATTTTTACTTCCAGGTGCAAACAATTTGATACCTATGGAAATTGCTCTAAAGATTGCTAACAAAATCAAAGCAAGGGAGAGGTTTTCAGTATACATCGTCGTCCCAATGTGGACAGAGGGTGTTCCTACATGTACTCCCACTCAAAGAATTCTATTTTGACAGGTTAAATTCTACAGCCTCATTTCATGAAAGAGGTTGAAAACTTATTTGAAAACTTGAGAAGGTGTATGAACCACAAGATCATGTGAATTTCTTTTGCCTCGGGAATCGCTAGGCTCGCGATGGTGGAAGCATTTCAGATACTACTAAGAGTTCTCCTACAAACACTCCCCAAGTACATTTCTCTTAATTTTCCAAATATTTCTAAATAATCAAGTTCATGCATTGCATTTCGACTTATAAACCCATGATATGTCATTATCAAGGTACTCATTCGGAAAAATAGACACTTCATGATATATGTCCATTCAAAGGGAATGATGGTGGATGATGAATATGTAACATTGGGTTCTGCTAACATCAATGAACGCTCTCTCGAAGGAACCAGAGATACTGAAATTGCCATGGGCTGGCAAGCTTACTAATCCACATGGACAGGTAAAATTTTTCATCTACCTCGTATTAGTTTCAAAATATTTCTGAGAGCATATATGACCTAGTCGATGTGTACATTTAATTGCAGATCTATGGAACTCTGGGCCGAGCACATAGGTACATTAGAGCAATGTTTTGAGCAACCAGAAAGTCTTGAATGTGTGAGACGTGTAAGATGGATGGCCAAACATAATTGGAAACAGTTCGCATCGGACGAAGTAAGTGAAATAAAAGGTCATCTACTAAAGTATCCGGTCGAAGTGAATAGAATGGGGAAGATGAATCCTCTTCCTGGCTGTGAAACATTACCAGATATGGGTGGCAAAATTTGTGACATTTACTGGGATTCAAGAGAATCTCACAATTTAATCAAATCTTTGTATTTTTTTTAAGAAATCTTGACTACCCACATTTTTTGTTTAAATCAGTTGTCGAAATTCGATATATGTTCCTTGTAAAACTGTGCAAATATATTTTTATTGTGCTCTTATGAAAAATAGTGCAACTATTTCATGCTTCGTTTTGGTTCTGATACGAGTTCAAGAATTTAAATTTTTCAGGGTGGGATGCAAATTTGAGATAGTAATGGCTAACATCAGGAAATCAAATAACCGAGAATCCCAATTAACTCGCCGACCTAAAAAAGTAGCTAAAGTAGGGATGAATATCACCAGTAAAATGAGTCCCGCATAAAGGCCTGCAATGAGATCAACAGTCTTCGAAATATGTTGGTGCTTCCAAAAAAAGCTAGTGGATGACTCGTTCGACCACGGAGGGGATGAAACCAACGTCATGGACCCGTAAATGGTCGAACAACGTACAATCGAAGCAAACTATGGTCTCTTGAAAAAATATTAATATTAGAATTTTTGACCCGAATTCTTTGTTAAAAATATTTGGGAATTCAAATTAAAGTTTGGAATGCTATTGTGGAATCATATTCAAGTTTATTTGACAAATTTTGGTTGAAATTCTATTTGGAAGTCCAACTGGGAATTGAAATTTGTGTTGAATTTGAAGAGAACATTGAAACAAAAAAATCAAGTTTTTAAGAGGAAATTACATAATTTCAGGTATTCGAAAATCACAGTGCAAAAATCAGGTGAGAAGTTTTTTTAATCAAAATTCAGGTACCCACTCAAGCCCTAATATAGGGCGTGTCTGGGCGCGATTCCAGCCTACTTGTAAGCAAAAATATGACCGTTTGATACAGTGAATGGGCCCCATGTCTGGAAAGAATTTTGCAAAAAAAAGGGACAACAACTGGCAGCCGTCTTTCACCTAGTATTCGAAATGTCAAAAATATCCTTTCTAATGTGGTGAAAGTTAAAAATCTGGGGACACAAAGGTCTTTTCACTGAACATTCTAATTCATTTGACTGTTGCAGTCAATTAATGCTGCCATTTTGTCCTCTTTTTTTTTTGCCAATTTCTATTCAACTGTGGGGCCCATTCACTGTGTAAAATGGTCAAATTTTTAATTAAAATTGGGCTGGAATCGCTTCCAGACACGCCCATAATTTCTATCCCTCCTCTCAACATCTCTCATTTCTCTCTCCTCTCCACTCTCTCTCTCTCTTCGACCTCTCTTCGACATCGGCCGTCCATTCGAACTCTAGCAACCGACGACGAAGGGATGCGCCGTCTGACACTGTTAGCATCGAGTAATGCTGAGCTGATTCCACCCTTCTGCGAACGGGGCAAATGGCGAGTCTTGGGCTATGAGTGGTGGCCATTACACACAACAACAGTGTCAAACGTCTCCTCCTGATTCAGCCCACACATCCTTGACTCAACCGACAACCATCCACATCATTTCGTTGATCTCGGACGACCGGCGACGCTGCTGCGAATGCCAGACCGCCGTGCTTGGACCACCGTGTTTGGTTTCACCTTCTTCGGCTTCTTACCTGTGAGATCTACGACATTGTAGGGGATTTAAATTTTTCTCGTCTCTTTTTTTTTTTCTGATTTTGTGGTGACTAGAGTTGAGGGGTTGATCTTGTGTATTAAAAGTGCAAATGGCGGTGACGAACTTGATGATTTGTTAGTGGGGTGGTGGCTGTGGTGCCGTACTTTTGGGAGAGGGGGTGGATTTTGGCAGGTGACGGTGGTGCAGAGGTGTGATGGAGGTGCTGTGGAACAGAGAGCTCTGGTGAGTGCGACGGTGGTGTGGTGCTGTGGGTGCGTTCGTGTTGCTGCGGGTGGCAGTCGACGGTGGCGCAGTGGAGGATCAGGCGGATTTGGTGATTTTGATTTTGTGACTAAATATAATTTGTGACCTTAAAATTCGGTAATCTGTGACTAAAAATATGATCCGTGACCTAAAAATTATATAATATGTGACCGTGAAAAATCTGTGACCAACTAATTTGAAAATATGTGACTGTGAGACCTATAAATTTTGATATGTGACCTACAAAATTTTTGAACTGTGACCGTAAAATAATCTGTGACGTACAAAAATTATTATTTGTGACTGAAAAATAACATGTGACTATCTAAATTGTGAATATGTGATCATATTGTATAAATTGTCGAAATTGGAGCAGTCGTCGGAATAAAGTTGCTGCGGAACGGTCACCAGAATAGTCGTCTGAACGATGGCCGAAAAAGAGTGGTGATCGAAACGGTCCCCGAAATAGTCCCCGAAACGGTAGAGATGGTGGAGGTGGAGTGAGTTAATTATATTATTAGAATCAAATATTTAATAAATTTATTTAATANTTAGAATTTTTGACCCGAATTCTTTCTTAAAAATATTTGGGAATTCAAATTAAAGTTTGGATGTGGAATCATATTCAAATTTACTTGACGAATTTTGGTTGAAATTCTATTTGGAAGTCCAACTGGGAATTGAAATTTGTGTTGGATTTGAAGAGAACATTGAGACACAAAAAATCAAGTTTTTAAGAGGAAATTACATAATTCCAGGTATTTGAAAATCACAGTGCAAAAATCAGGTGAGAAGTTTTTTTAATCAAAATTCAAGTACCCACTCAAGCCCTAATATATGGCGTGTCTGGGCGCGATTCCAGCCTACTTGTAAGCAAAAATATGATCGTTTGATACAGTGAATGGACCCCACGTCTGGAAAGAATTTTGCAAAAAAAAGGGGACAACAACTGGCAGCCATCTTTCACCTAGTATTCGAAATGTCAAAAATATCCTTTCTAATGTGGTAAAAGTTAAAAATCTGGGGACACAAAGGTCTTTTCACTGAAAATTCTAATTCATTTGACTGTTGAAGTCAATTTATGCTACCATTTTGTCCTTTTTTTTTGCTAATTTCTATTCAACTGTGGGGCCCATTTACTGTGTAAAACGGTCAAGTTTTTAATTAAAATTGGGCTAGAATCGCGTCCAGACATGCCCATAATTTCTATCCCTCCTCTCGACATCTCTCACTTCTATCTCATCTTCACACACTCTCTCTCTCTTCGACCTCTCTTTGACATCGGCGGTCCATTCGAACTCTAGCAACCGACGACGAAGGGATGCGCCGACTGACACTGTTATCATCGGGTAATGCTGAACTGATTCCACCCTTCTGCGAACGCAGCAAACGGCGGGTCTTGGGCTATGAGTGGTGGCCATTACACACAACAACAGTATCAAACGTCTCCTCCTGACTCAGCCCACACAGCCTTGACTCAACCGATAACCATCCACATCATTTCGTTGATCTCGGACGACCGGCGATGCTGCTGCGAACGCCAGACCGCCGTGCTTGGACGTGTTTGGTTTCACCTTCTCCGGCTTCCTACCTGTGAGATCTACGACATTGTAGGGGATTTAAATTTTTCTCGTCTCTTTTTTTTTTTTTGATTTTGTGGTGACTGGAGTTGAGGGGTTGATCTTGTGTATTAAAAGTGCAAATGGCGATGACGAACTTGATGATTTGTTGGTGGGGTGGTGGCTGTGGTGCCGTACTTTTAGGAGAGGGGGTGGATTTTGGCAGGTGACGGTGGTCCAGAGGTGCGATGGAGGTGCTATGGAACAGAGAGCTCTGGTGACTGCGACGGTGGTGTGGTACTGTGGATACGTTCGTGGTGCTGCGGGTGGCAGTCGACGGTGGCGCAGTGGAGGCTCAGGCGGATTTGGTGATTTTGGTTTTGTGACTAAAAATATAATCCGTGACCTTAAAATTCGGTAATCTGTGAGCTAAAAATTATATAATATGTGACCGTGAAAAATCTGTGACCAACTAATTTGAAAATATGTGACTGTGAGACCTATAAATTTTGATATGTGACCTACAAAATTTTTGAACTGTGACCGTAAAATAATTTGTGACGTACAAAAATTATTATTTGTGACTGAAAAATAATATGTGACTATCTAAATTGTGAATTTGTGATCATATTGTATAAATTGTCGAAATTGGAGCAGTCCTCGGAATGAAGTTGCGGCGGAATGGTCACCGGAATAGTCGTCGGAACGATCGTCGGAAAAGAGTGGTGATCGGAACGGTCCCCGAAATAGTCCCCGAAACGGTAGAGATGGTGGAGGTGGAGTGAGTTAATTATATTATATTAGAATTAAATATTTAATAAATTTATTTAATAATTAATTAATAAAAATATTTTTAATTAATAAATAAATACCTGATTTTTGCATTTTTAAACTTAAAACTTGATTTTTGCATTTGTGAAACCTGAAGCCTGTTTTATGATTTTTTTTTTTTTTTTTTTTTTTNATTGAATTGTGTCAAAGTTAACACCCGACTTTTGAATTTTTCCCAGTTTTTAAAGTAAAGGTCCCGAGAGTGGGTGTCGGGGAAATTTTGACCCAGCGCCGCAACGCCGACCCATGCCAGCGTCGAGGCGCCACCTATTCTAATTTCACCTAAGCTATTTTTCCTCATCTACTTCGTTTTGGATTCTATTTTTGCATTCTACTTCAACTGAAATTCAACTATTAGAGTTTATACTTCTCATATTTGTTCCCTATATATAGTTGACTCTTCATTATGATTTAGAAGAATTTAAAAACATTGCAAACTCCAAAATCTTTGTATTTTTTTTTCCATATTATAGTAAAATCTCATTTACTCTGCAAATTATTCTGTTCTTATGTTCTTGTAATCAATTATTTCATATTGTGGTTATAATATCTTATTTTCTCCAATAATTTGGTATCGGAGTTATCTGATATCGTCTTTCGCTTTTCACAACGATTAACTCGAAAGGCATATTGCCCAGAGACATAATGTATGTGTGAACTATAAATTTGCAAAGATCATCTAAACTAACTCGTGAAGCATGTGCAATACTATAAAATATATATTAGATTCCTTGTGTTGATCTCTAATCTTGATATTATATTAATAATCTTGGAATATATTCGATCCACGGCATAAATGCTTATATCTAAATGATATTATATCGAGAATGCAAGTTATAGCTATTGACACAGAATAAATAAAGGTTGAAAACGCATTAGCACTCCACTAAAATTTCACGTTAGTCACTATACTTTAATATTTTAAATTTGTTAAGTTTTAAGTTGTAGTGGTCATTCTTTAGACAAAATGATTATTATAAAAGAATTGTAAAAGTCAATGAGTCTTTTGGGATGTTGTATAGATGAACTATGTGTCTTGGGTCTGAGTATGGTACATGAAGAAAGAGTCGTCGGACTTATGCTAGCATGTTGCCAAGCTGATGCTCGAGCATCCAAAACAAAATCATTGTCGTCAGCTTGGAGCTCGAGCAACGGTATTTCTAAGAGTTCTATTTATCATATTCTACCCCCAATACCTCTATACTATAAATACACAAGCCTCACTTGTGAAAACTTTGGTTAATCATTATTTTCTATCTTCGTAACATTCTTTGGAGATCAACCAACAATATTACATTTTGAGATTAATCAACCACAAGTTGGGAAAAATATCAAAATCAAATAATCCAAAATATCCACTTCCTAAATATAATCAAGAAAAATCAAATAATCCAAAGCACTCACTTCCTAAATATAATCAAGAAAATACTTTTTCAATATGTTGCTGAACATTGAGTGAAGTTGGACCAGAAGTACATAAGAGTACACGAATAAGGTGTTCTTGGTTATCCACAGGAAATATACAATTCCAATAGATCAGGGGCAGATGTTAGTGAAGCACGTTCCAACAGGTCTTGAAGATTACAGGAATTAGATCAGCGAGTATATTGAGTATTCTAGACTGGATCATATTGTAAACTTTTATTATCTATAGTGGAAGTTATTGACTTATTCCCAAAATTTTTAATTATGTAAAGGATTTTCTTCGTTAAAAAATCTTGTGTTATTTACTATTTTATTTATTATTATGACAATTCAATATAGAATAAAATTGATTTGATTGACTAAATATTTAGAATAATTAAAAATTATTTTGTTACTTTTAATTGGTAATTTTAATTCCGAGTTATTCACCTTTTGAATCCTCTCTAGGTGATTTTAGAGTCGAACTCGTAACTTTCAAAATTAATCATTCAACTTTTATTTTCAATGAAACTGATGAATGTTATTTATTATCATAATGATGAAACATTGGTAACACATTATCTTTCACATTTCTCTATCTATCATCCCGCTCTTTCTCATACAAGCTGAAATATTTAATTCCATTATTGCACATAAATTGGTACATCGTAATGGTAAATAGCATTATTTAATGGAATTAGGGCGTGAGAACCCCACCTACCCACCTCCTCACCTACTACTCAAACGATGCACAGATCTAACTGAATTTAAAGAAATTCCAAATCTCAAAATGACATAAATATCCTTACGAGGTTTTTATTAGGTGGTTGGTGTCAATATATTTTGAGATGCTGCTTTTGCTGTTCATTTCTCAATTTTATTCCTTGTTTCATTGCGCCATGAATTTGCGACGCTTAAGATTAACTAAGCGAAAGATTAAGTGTCTATCTGGAGGTGATTAAAATTTATCAAAATTGATTTTTGGACCGTTTGCTTTTAATCATCAGACACAAAAAGCAGCCACTTTGTTTGAATTATAACTGTTGCCCTCTTCAACGGTAAAAAAAAGCCAATTTTGGCTGATTTTCAACAGAACCAGACAGACTATAAATTCTTGTACCGTACATGACATGAAATTACTAGTTTTCATTTTAATGGAACACTTTTTATGTATTCTTAGATTGTTCGAAACTAATTGTGGTTGAGAGATTTGACGATTTTACCCTCTAATTGTAAATATCCTGAAAGTCGGGAGTGAATATAATATTTATATTAATAAGTTTGAGATTTCAAAGACCTAATACCTCACTTTTGAAGATTAACCACATAAAACGTTCGGGAGCCGATCCTAATTTTCCCATAGTCTACTATTTTGGCGGCTAGTTTTTATCTAGTTATAAGGGCATATTAGTCATTTAAGATATTACGAAGGCGTAACAAAGGGCGTGACCACAAAAATTCAAAAAATATTTTCTTCGCCTATATACATAAATCACAGTAGATGCACACACCATTACACTCTACCCCTCTTTCCGTATCATTTTCCCACACGACGCACACTAAAATTTGACACTATGGTTGCCACGGTAAACGGATCCGGCAAGCCCTACAAGTTCCTGATTTACGGCCGCACCGGATGGATTGGTGGGCTCCTCGGGAAGCTCTGTGAAGCTCAGAAGATCGAATACGTTTACGGGTCGGGTCGGTTGGAGAACCGGCCATCCCTTGAGTCCGACATCGCCTCGGTGCAACCGACCCATGTATTCAACGCCGCCGGTGTTACTGGACGGCCTAATGTCGACTGGTGTGAGTCACACAAGGTGGAGACTATTAGGACAAATGTTGTCGGCACGTTGACGCTCGCTGATGTATGCAGGGAGAAGGGGTTGGTTTTGATCAACTATGCCACTGGATGTATTTTTGAGTATGATGATTCGCATCCGCTCGGGTCGGGTATCGGGTTCAAGGAGGAGGACACTCCGAATTTCATCGGATCCTTTTACTCCAAGACGAAAGCAATGGTGGGTAATGTTTGGATTTATCGTTATGTTTGTGTTTATGTATTTATGGCAAATATGTTTGAGATCTGTGTGTTATAATTCTAAATCTCAAATTTGGATTTTTCATTTATTTATTAATCTTGATATGTGGAAAGTTGCAGTCCTACTGTTAGATTTGTTTATTGAACTAATGATGCATTAATGTGGAAATTTGAAATCTGTTTAGGCTCAGTTTGTTAACATTCAGATACAATTAGAGAAATTCATTGGATTATCGAAATTTTCGACCTTGATAGTAGAAACAATCTGGCCAAGTTCATAGATCATAGGTGGGATGTGTGAAGACGAGTCACTTTGATTAGATCTCGAAAATTTAGATGACTACAATGAGGTTATATGGAATGAATCACCTAAAGTCAGTAAATTTAAGTATATGATTGATATATTCCGTGGATAACTTGTTGTAATCTGGATTTTTTCTACTAATCTTATGAAAATGTAAAGAAAGTCTGTTAGTAAATGTTAAGGATTTAATAAAATTAAAATGTATGCTTTTAGTAAATTGGATCGATGTGATGCTTATGTTTGTTTTCTGCACTTGAATAAGTGTAATTATGAACTTGTGATCTTTGGGTGGTCCTGATGGAAGTTCCATTTTGCTGTTATATTGGCAGGTCGAGGATCTACTAAAGAACTATGAGAATGTCTGTACACTGCGTGTAAGGATGCCCATCTCATCTGATCTGTCAAACCCTCGCAATTTCATTACAAAGATCACTAGGTATGAGAAGGTGGTGAACATTCCCAACTCCATGACAATCTTGGATGAACTCCTACCAATATCCATTGAAATGGCAAAGAGAAACCTCACTGGGATATGGAACTTCACTAATCCTGGAGTTGTCAGCCATAATGAAATCCTGGAGATGTACCGCGAATACATAGACCCAAATTTCACTTGGAAGAACTTCAATCTTGAGGAGCAGGCTAAGGTAATTGTCGCTCCAAGGAGCAACAATGAGCTTGATGCCTCCAAACTGAAGCAGGAATTCCCTGAACTGTTAGGTATTAAGGAGTCGCTTATACAGAATGTCTTCACGCCAAATCGAAAGACCCCTGTAGCTTGAAAGCTAAAGGTTTGAATTTATAATTTTGAATGTCGTTCATGTGGGTTATTTCAATTTCTTCACCACGTGAATCTGTTCCTATGTTATACGCAGTTTTTTCCCGGTTATGTATTGATGTTGTATTGTGTCAGTTGTGTTAGGCAATAAATGAGTGGACATGTTACATTGATTTATATATGAAATTGGTCTTATTCATGGTTTTACCTTTTGATTCATTTTGAGTTAGACCCTGGTTAAGACAGGGACGCTGATTTACTGTTGTTGGAATGGTGAATGCTATAATATTGTCCTTTGGTGTTAGACAATTTTTTGTTGAAAAGATCTTAAAAAGAAAACAAATTTAAACAAAAATAAGAAAAGAGAAACCAGAACACCCNNTAAGAAAAGAGAAACCAGAACACCCGAATCCCGATCCCTGCCCGGCCACATCTCCAGGCACAGACTCAGCCAATTAGCTGACGTCCAGTGCCAAACGTAACTTAATGGGTAAGTCATCAGTCCATGGATGGCTTATGGCCAGACATTTTACCAAAGGTTTCTAATCTATCTTTGTGTGATTTCTATTGAAGCATATACTTTATGATGGGTGTAGGGCAGTTAAAGTAGACTCCTCATTCATTAAATAGATAAGATTATCAAGATTTCATGATCCGTCTTGAGAAAGTCGATTTGATATCTTGAAACTCTTAGGTACGTATAAAATGTTGTAATCTTTCTGCCTTGAAGTAAAAAATACGAGGGAAATGAAGAAGCGCCTTTTGATTTTGAGGCAACTGTTATATTAACATTCTTTGTAGAATTCATGGGGAGAAGAAACTTTATATGCCTTCCATTTTTTAAAAAAAAAAAAATTTCGTGGCCAAAATTCCCTTGCCAACACAAATCCAAGTACTCAAACACTTTGATTCCTTGAACTTGACTTTGCCATGTCCAAGGATGCAATCCTAGGAAACGTGTCTCTTATTGATAGTTAGTTACAAGGATGATGCTGCTTCAGTCGGATGGACGTGTTTTTAGCTGTCTTTTGATTCGGATCTTGTGATATATGGAAAAACTCTTGAAAGAAGTTTTCATTGTGGGCGAGTAAGACGTTTAGTCCAAGATTTCAAGGAGGGCATAGTTGTAAAACACTAGAGGAGTCCTGACAACATGGATTCCGTATGTTCATGTGAATACGAATTCGAGTTTTATTGTCAAAATAAAAATTACCATAAACGGTAAAAAGCTTAATCGAGGACCTAAACGGCGAAATTTACCCAAAATTCGATGTATGTTAGGGCCGAAGGCGCTGAGTTGTGATCATTTGCCCATTTCCAATCGAATTAGACTTACAATTCGCCAAAAAGGGACAAACCGAAGTTATCATGAAATCATTATTTTGTCTTGCGATCCCACTTTATCATAAACTCTAACTCTTTATGCACTTCATTGTTCTCCCCAGGGTGAGAAAAATTCGCCATCGAATTTGACGGGAAGGAAGCCTCATCATCATTAGAAATATTACCACGAAATGACACTAGATGCTTGACATTAAACACATCGGATGTATGAATATGATTTGGCAGCTTCAAACGATAAGCATTTGGATTAATCTTCTCAATGACCTCCAATGGACCAATCTTCTTGGCAGTAAGCTTGTTGTATTCATGAGCAGGGATACGATCTTTTGTCAACACCGCCCAAACAAAGTCACCTACCTCAANTGACCTCCAATTGACCAACCTTTTTCCAGTAAGCTTGTTGTATTCAAGAGCAGGAATACAATCTTTTGTTAACACCGCCTAAACAAAGTCACCTACCTTAAATTCAACATGCCGGCATTTAAGATTCACATCATGTTTATGCTTAGTAACAACAACATGCAACTGATCATAAGTCTGTGAGTGAACCTGCTATAATTGTTGAATGAAATTCTTGGCCTTACCATGCATTTTAATAGTAGTAGAAATCGGAACCAAGTTAAGGGGTCCACGAGGAACAAGACCATACACCACCTGAAATGGACT